TAAGTTTCCGGAACTGGCCACTTACATAAACAATATTTAAAAAGTAATTACAACATTTGAAAATGGAACTCTTTGGCTGTAGAATACAGTTAGTTTCATCTGACTGTCACTTGTTTTTACATTGTGGCGTCTTTTTAGAAATTGATTGCCTACATGACCATGGATTTAACTCGTGAAAATTTTCGTAGTATGATTTTCTACGACTTTAAGTGTAATTTAACAGGTCAGCGGAGCTTCACTCGACTTCAAACTGCTTTTGGCGATGAAGCTCCATGTAAGACGACTATATGTAGCTGGTTTGCAGAATTCAAACGCGGTCGTGTGAATCTCAGGGTCGTATTCCAGAACTCTACTCAATACTCAAGTCAGGACTTGAATATTGCAGTGAGCACTGAAAATCATACTCAAGTCCTTGACATTAGGGTCGTATTTCCAGTGCTTGAAATCATACCCAAATCTGCTCAAATCCTGACTTGAGCATTGAGTAGAGTTCTGGAATACGACCCTTAGTGACGAATTTCGTGATGATCGCCCGTCCACTGCTGTGAACAACAAAAACATCAATGCTGTGCGCCGTATGATCAAAACAGACAGGCATGTGACATACCATGAGATTCGGGCATCTTTAGGCATAGTCATGAGTCAAATACAGTCAATACTACACAAGCATTTGGGTGTGGAAAAGCTGTGCTCACGGTGGATCCCACACAATTTGACTGAGGCTCAAAAAACGGATCGCATCATTTGATGCAATGCCATGCTTACCAGATTAGCATATATAGCAATCGAGTGTATGGGTCTTTCAAGATAAGCCGAAACCAACCAAAGTGGCGCGCGTGCAAAGTGCCTCTAAGATGATTGTTTCTTTTTTTTTTAATAAAACTGGATACGTGGCTACTGTTGCTTCGAAGAATCGTTGTACCGTGAACAGTGATTGGTACAAGACCATTTGTTTGCTGGAAGTTATTGACAAACTCCGTAAAATTACCGTAAACGCCGTACCATCTTGCACCACGATAATGCCAGTTCTCACTCGGCCAGACAGACAAATGAATTTTCGAAGGTGAACAACGTTGACCTTATGAGCCGCGTACAGTCCCGACCTGGCACCTTATGACTTTTATTTATTTCCAAAAATTAAGAACCAATTACGCGGTCAACGATTTTCATCACTAAGAGGCTGTCGAAGAGTATGAAAAATATGTTTCAGAGATTGTCACAGAGGAGTGGCATAAATGTTTTCAAAATTGGTTCAATCCTATGAAAAAGTGCATTAACGCTAACAGAGAATATTTTGAGAAACAATAAATTCAGTTCTGACCATTTATAATATTTTTAACGGACTTCAAAAAAGGAGGAGGTTCTCAATTCGACTGTATGTTCTTTTTTTTCTTTTTTTTATATGTATGTTACGCGATAACTCCGGTATTTGTAAACCGATTTTCATGATTCTTTTTTTGTTGGAAAGGGAGTACTTCCACAGTGGTCCCATTTCATTTTGAAGAAAATCATCCACTTTTAAGGGTGGCTGTTCATGCATGAAGATTCATTTTTATAAATAGCGCCTAACTTTAATTTAGGAGCAATTATTTTAATGGTTGATTTTGCTATTTCTCCAATTCAAGGCGTTTTTCTCTCAATATACTTTCAGTAGTGAGAACCGATTATTATTATCTCCAGTGTCCAAGTCCTGTATCGTGGCGAACTAGGGGATATTTCAATAAAACTTAGCAAATAGACGTAATTCCCACGTACTTTTGGGGTCGGTTATTTTAGTACTCTGTACTGTTTTTTATTTGATTATTTTCTTATTCATTCCGGAATTTTATAGTGCGCCTCACGTACGCTAGGGAGAGGCGGAGTGTCCGTTCTAATTACTTATTTGTTCTCTGCTTATATGCGTTAACAAAGTGCCGGCCGGGCCTAGACTAACTTAAGTTCTAATATACAGGAATGCACCAAGTGCATTCGTGGGCGTACATTATTATATAGGGTGCCGCTACACTATTAAAATTTTCCGCCATTTTGCCGAACAGTAGCTTTCCTTTTGGTGACAGTAATCCTGCCACCACTTCCGTCAGTCATCCATGACTATCTAGAAATTTATTTAATTAAGTACCCAATCAAAGTAATTAATTAAAAGTAACGGGGCTATCAAAGTACTTTTGCAAAATAATTTTAAAATTTACGCCCGCGTTATGTGCTCATCCCTGAATGTAGAGATAAGGAATGCTGATGCAGCACCAGCGCCGGCGTCTCTGGTGGCTTCGAGAATTCAGTTCCAGTTCAAGCTTCAAACTGGCAGGTTGGTTCATACAACCTAAGGTTTGAGTTTTAAGACTCTATTATTGTGCTTTTAGTGAACTTAAGTGACTATAAAATACATTAACTTTTTAAAAACGCAACCCCGTGGCTTGGGGTTGTAATTCCTATGCGCTTCAAAGTTCGCGCCCTTTTCGTATTGTTTGATCACAGCATTAGTCGTTAAAAAATCGAACATCTTTTTTTTTATAATAACAAGTGACGGAACTTCTTTTATTTTTTTTCCATCCTCTAAGGACGGAACGAACAAGTCGTGTGACTGGTGGTAAGCTACACGCCTGTCCATAATAATTGTAGTGCCACTCAGAGCTTTAAATCGCAAAGAACTGAGGGGGCGCCACTACGACGCCCGTCACCCTGAGACATAAGTTGACAAGTCCCTTGTGCCTGTAATTTCACCAGCATATCCTAGACACCGGATATGCTGGGGTTTTTCTAAAAATCAACGCAATGTTGAAAAGGGCAAAGGAATAAATTATACGGGCGAACTTTATCCGATAATTCATTCATATCTTAACCAACAATTAAATTCCATTTGTAAAGTGAATATCGGATTCTAATTTTATTTGACAGTACTCTAAAATTGCAGCAAGAATAAAGCTACTATAATTTCATACAACGAAAGCAAAAGACAGTAAATAGGCATAGAATCTTGAGGTATGAAAATAAAATGCATTTTACGCTCCACTAAAAGTATATAATACATAACATCGTTAAGTATTTCATTGCATTGTAATATGTACATGACGACAGGAATGGGAGATAATGGTATTCAGGCGTTAAATTACGAAATAGCACAATAATGTATCATTTTTGCTATTCGATTTTAATAAGGAAAGCAATTTTTGGCATAAAAAGTAATACAATACACTATTATTAATATCATAACAAAAGATACGTAAAAGTCTATTCCATTTTAAAAATAAGTAATATCTTTTCCATGAAGTTATATTACATTTTCAGTTTTCTTCCACATTAAGCTGCACATTTGCTGCAGCCCTGAGGCACCTATAACTGAACGCCGCGGCCGTCCACAATTGTTTAATGAGCGATTCAGAGACCACCGAGGAGGTTCAATCGTCGATGGCGACGTCGTTCCGCCGCGCACGTTTTGTATGTATTCTCGGCCCGACGGAAATTAGGTATGTATAATAATAATATAATGTACGAACATTGTAATAATCAGTTATTTAAGTTAACATAAGGTGAGCGACGTTCCTCCGAAGCTGTAGTCCATTGCTGTTGGCCTTCCACTCTTGGATGGATCGCCGTATTTTACAACGTAGGTATATTTATTTACATTTAAGAACTACATAAACAATGAACAGTAATCACAAAAAGTTCTAAACAAATAATCGGCAAGAGCCCGCCCGACATAGGGTTCCGCCACCACAGGTCTCAAATTTTATTTTGTATTTTCAGTGTCTTTTTTTGCATTTTGTGCTATCGAGTATATATTAACAAACGTCTTCACGCCACATTTTTCATAATAGTTGTAAAAAGGATATTTTTGTTTTTCATAATATCAAGTGGCGGGACGAACTGGTCGTGGGCCTGATGGTAAACTATGTTATAATATACATACACGTGTATACTTAACATACATATACATGACAAAACTACGCAAGTTACAACTTTAACAATTAGTGGTTAAGTACTATATAGTTTGACTATGGAACCTTATTACAATAAGTTGAAGTTTATCGTGACTGCGCTAATCTAGGCATGATATGATTCAACAAGTTTTTCAACAAAAACAAGCAAAAGTGAGTGTCTTCAAAATATTGACGATTTGAAATCTGAATAATTAAAATATTAAAGTGGCGTGTGATGGTTGAGATTTTTTAAAGTAATATTGAATATTACTCAGTAAGAAGGATCGAAGTCTATTATTATTTTATAGAAAACCAATTTAAGGAGCCTATCGGAGATATTTTCTTTTTACTCTAATGTAAGTGTGGATTTGACCTCCATCTCACCTGATGGAGAGTGACGATGAGGTCAACGATGGAGCATGCACACCTAAATAATGCCTATTCACTCTCGTCTTGAAAAGGTCCAAGTTATAATGTTCAGGGAACAAGTCTGCAGGCAGGGAACTCCACTCCGTTCGCCATATAAATGTGGAAGCGTAACGCTTCGTGCGAATCTTTGGAATATCCACAACATAGGGGTGGAAGGCAAGCCTACGCCTAGTAAATGATGGAAAGGAGAAGGCGGAATGAAATCGTGTAATTCCTTCGCACACACTCCGTAATATATCCTGTAAAATACCGATAAGCAGGCAACTTTACGCCGGTGTTCAAGGCTCTGCAGCTTCGCCTCTACCAATTCCGAATCACCTATAAGCCTCTTGACACGCTTGTCAATTGAATCCAAGGTGGGCAGTTGGTATTTATTTATTTTATTTGGTGACAGTAGTACTTTATACACGACCAGACTTGTGCTTGATACAGCTGAAGCAACTGTCCTGGTGTGAAGTAACGCCTCACCCTGGAAAGGATGCCAAGCTTCTTGGCTGCATTTTTGGCCAAGGAGTCAATGTATATGCCGAAGTTCAGATTGGACGATAGGTCCATTCCAAGTAGCTGGAGACAGTCAGCTATCAGTATGGATATATCACGAAAAGTCGGAGTCAGCTCAAAGGGACTCCGTTTAGTGGAGAATAGACACGCCTGCGTTTTGGTAGCGTTAAATTTGACAAGATTGGCATCGCTCCAATCGGGGACTGCCTTGAGCGTCAAGTCTAAACGGCTAACCATGGACTCTCGTCAAGACTGGATTTCCTCTCCACTGACCTTCGCATTGGTCAAGTATCGTAGCTAACTGTGCTGTCAACGGCATGTGCAAAGGTACCTGGTATGCAGACATCCGTTTAGTTGCAGACAGTCCCATCAGAGAGACCATCAGACATCTATCGCCAATGTTCGAAAGAGTAGCCTTCTAAGACCAATCGAATGGAACGTTCACTGAAGAAATCCGATATCTAATTGCAAAGGTCAGATAGATTTGTATGCTAACAAATTGGGGAAACATTTTCGTTCGGGATAAAAATGCGACGGATATTCGTGTTTAAAATTTGTGTGAAAAGTTAGTCACCACGTGTCTTAAAACGTCGGCGAGAGGCTTCGAAGAAAGACATCGGCCGTCGCCGACAGAAACAGTAGTCGGGCTATGTACAGACGCCGCGGCGTCTACGCGTTGAGGTCCATGTCGGCGAAGAGGTCCCCCTTGGTGGCCACGGTGAGCGCGTAGTGCGCGTGCAGCTGCTGCAGCAGCTCGCGCTCGTCCAGCATCTCCAGCGCCTCGACGCGCGCGCGGTCGTCGTCGGGCAGCGCGCGCCACACCGTGTCCATGTCCCAGGCGCGCGCCGCGTCGAAGCCCAGCGCGCGCAGCCGCGCCGCCTGCGCCTCGGGCGCCTCGCACTGCCACGCGTCGGCCTGCACGCGGCAGCCGCGCGCCGCCAGGTTGCGCAGCATGACCTCGCCGAACTTGTCGGCCAGGTTGCACTGCTCGTACACCAGCAGCACCAGCCGCGGGAAGAAGGCGGCCAGCTGCGCCAGCAGCGCGCGCGCCGCGTCGCCGCGCAGGTACACCAGCACGCACTCGGCCAGCGCCAGCGTGGGCGCGGCGGGCGACACCCGCGCCGCCGCCAGCGCGCGCCGCACCTCGCCCGCCTGGCGCAGGTCGCAGCCCACCAGGTGGTACCCGTCGGCGTGCAGCTCGGCCCCCGGGCCCCCCGCGCCCCCCGCGCCGCCGCCGGCGCCCACCATCACCTCGCCGTCTGCAACGACCCGCGGCCGCGTCAGAGCGCCGGCCTCGCCGCCCGCCCGGCCGCCCGGCGCCCGCCCGCCCGCCTACCTTCGCTGGTGATCTTCTGCAGCAGCCGCTTGTTGCGCTTGATGATGTGGCACTTCTTGGCCGTGACGGCGGGGAAGTCGAGCTCCACGAAGTTGACGCCGGCGCGTGTCGCGTCTTCCAGCCGCCAGTACAGCGTGTCGAACCCGCACCCCAAGTTGATGATTTGACACTTGGTGCCGCAACGCTACTCGATTAAAACCAAACCGAATTATTAGTTACATAGCTACTAATATATAAATATTAGTAGCCGATGGGCGATAAGTTGCAATACACCCGTTCACTTTTCCACAATTTCATATTGCAGTAAGGCAAAACAAAATTAGTTTATATGCATGCATGCATGCGACTGACGAATACCGCCACCAGACCATCTAAATTGTTGTGAATGCACATGCCATTGTAATATTTGTAGAATGGACACGCTTATTGCGACAGCGTGCACAGCCACAAAAATAGTATCGGGAGATTGACATACTGATCGAGTAAACGTAACAAATGTGTCCAATGTAATTACAGTGTTAACTAAAAGTAGACTTTGATTTATCATCCTATAGAAACAGCTAAAGGTATTCAAGTAAGGCCATCATGTAAGGAACAATATGACGCCACTACAAATTTTCAACATTAGTATGTCTCTATAGTCACTAAGGATGTCAATAAATAAGTTTTACATTTTTGTTAGAGAAGTCGCATAAGGTTAACTAAGACAAGCAATTACAATTGACAGGAGTGTACTTAATTCTCCTTGTCATAAAACATATTTGTTTTGTCTAACCTGTCAATTTAGCTAGGATATTGAATATTCTACATTGCAAAACATTTCAAACCAAAGTGAAATAAATAATGTTGAGCGCATGTGGTACTTCAAAATAGTACAGTGACCTTGTGACCTTGTATAGGTCATAAAATTCAGTACAACAATGTGATGAGACAGAATTGGCTCATGAAATACACAATTTACGTTCTCCCTTGGCTTGACTGACACACAAACAACTTGAGAAAGGTGGCTGGCAGTGGCTTGATGCAGGTGGCACAAGAATGGGAGAGTTGGCGTGTTCTAGGCTTATATCCAACCGTGGATGCATACCCATTATGAAGATATAATTTTCTACACTCATGTTGTGTACTCATACATTATTTTTGTAGCCTTATTTTTTATTAACATTTCCATTTTGGGAAATTTTAAAAAATGTAATAAGGTTGTTTTACAAAGTAAGTCTAAGATCTCTTGTAGCATTTTCAACATTATTAATACAATAACTTAGCTTGAAGTTTTGTGTCCATATTTCTTGATGTTAAAAATAAGTTTTCCTTGGTCTTGTGATTTGCTTTAACGATTCTTGAAGAAGAACAAGAAAGTTAGCATAGTTGAAGGTAGTAATTAAGTATCAGTACAACCAAGAGTTTGAAGGTCGACTGCCAAACAATACGACCGGTGAAAACAAAATATGTCTAACCTCAAGAAACTGATGAATGAACATCTCCATGCCCTTGACGCGCGCGTAGTAGCCGCGGTTGATCTCGGGTGCCTTGCGCTCGGCGCGCTTCACGAAGTAACTGATGTACTCATCCTTCCAGTAGCCCAGCTCCACGGCGCAGCGCTTGCACTCTGTCGCGTCAGTATTCGTGGCGATGATGGCCTCGTCCTCCGCCGACCATGACTTTATGTTCTCCATTGTCTTGACTAGCTCCGGCACGGAGTCAATAGTGAAATACTACCCCTGACAGAGCCAGATTTTGCTGGTGGCTGCGGCGCACGAGCCACAGCCCTACCCCGGCTCTTATCGCTATCACGGATTCAGGACCACAACCATTAACAGTGCTCAGTAGGTACCTGTACGATTGTAATAATGTTTATTTTTTCTAACTGGAGAAATTCGTTTCTCTTTAATGATTCGAAAGTTCACGGTTTTTTAATCATTTATCATCTTGTCTTTCAGGTTCCACAATCAGTCAAAGAAGAATTTCAAGAATCACAAAATGTCACCACAAATTAGAAAGATATAGTAGGAATGTCACCACAGGCCAGTGTTGCCAGAATTTTGTGAAGTTAATTCGCCAATTTATGTACGTTACGTAAAAATCAAGAAAACAATTTTACAATTCTGTTTGCTGCCGAACATTGGGGAATACAAGCAATAACTCCATTCCCCACAAAATCTCTAATAAAGTTTGTAATTCCCCAAACATTTTAAGTAGTCTAAAATCGCGTTTACCTATTTCAAGCAGCCTAAATATCGCTGAGTCGCCGACCACTTTTTTAGTCGCCGCTTTTTTAGACCCCCTCAAAGTAGCCTAAATGCGAAAAATCACCTAATCTGGCAACAGTGCCACAGAGAGCAAATAATAGTTTGTTTTCTTTTCCATCCTCTAAGGTTTTCTTGTGTTTCTGGCACTCGCGGTTTACTTTTGTGACTTAACTTTTTTTAAGGAAATCTTTTGGAAAACAGTGGAAAGGAAAAATAATTTGGAAGAAAAGATCTGTTGAGTGCGATTTAGGTTAAATACAAATAAACCAAATAAGTAAACAAAAAACATATGACAACATTTGTCATTGTTATCTTAGCACATTTGTCAAATGATAGATTTGTGATTTCGTCATTTAAATATTAAATTATAAATATTATATAGATGAATATTTATAATTTGATACAATTTAAAGTTATAAACATTTACAGGACTCTAAAACAAAATAAGCTTTTAGTAGTAGGAAGATCTATTCCAATGGAGATGAGGACATAGAACGAAAAAGAATGATCGTATAAAGGACAGTCGAGTACAATATGATTTAGACTTAAGACTTTAGGGATCGTATTCTAGAACTTTACTCAATGCTCAATGCAAAGTCAAGATTGCACTGGAAACACAAGCACTGGAAATACGACTCTAATGGCAGGGACTTGAGTATGATTTCGAGTGCTTTAAACCATACTCAAATCATGACTTGAGCATTGAGTAGAGTTCTAGAATACGACCCTAGATCACCTATCTCTCCTGCATTACGGCGGGCGGCACGCGGCAGACGGCTAAACGAACTTCAAGGTAAGATAATGAACGGGTCCTTACCATATGATACTGAATGAAATCATTGCAATAAAAATAAACCCGATTTATACTTTTCCTTCTTCTTCTTTTTTTAAATGTTATGGCTCCATCGAAATAATCAATTTATGCTTTTCCTTATTATTTTTCTGTCGTGTTCGATGTTGTTTGTCTGTGGGTAACACGGTAATATCATTGTCAACATTGACAATGACATGTAGTTTGTGAATGACATTACCATATTACCCAGAGTACCCACCTTGTTAAACCATTACGATGGTAAATAAAATTGTTAGATAAGATTTTCGAATGAATTGAGAGGAACATGGCTGATGACGAACTGCCTGTAATCTTGGTGAGCGCCTCAGATTCCGCCGCCGCCGGAGCCTTCATCTCAGGTTGCACAATATTTTTCTTGCCTACCTTTATATTGTCCGAATCTCATTCAAATTGACGTCAGTAAACTTACTCGGAGTTTGAGTTTCCTAAGTTTTTGTTGTTTTTAAGCTAATGGTTTTACATCCAATGCTTATAATCGATGTCAGTTATTCTGCCATTGCAGAATATTGTTTTCCCTGTGGGGTAAGCAACTTTTTTCCAAAGGACCAAAAAGACACAACGTCAACAGGTTGTTTATTCCATTTGTTACAATGTCGTACTATAAAACCGGAAAAAGAAAAGTTGGTTTTGACAATTTGTTAGAAAGGCAATGGAATAAAACATGTAACCAATTTGCACAATTAACTCTCATGCACGTGGGCGAGAACAGATACAGAAAAGGCGGAAGTATTTGCTAAGCACCTGGCTGAAGTGTTTAAGCTGAATGATAAAGTGACCGATGAATAGTCTGACTGAGAGACAGCTCTAGCGCAGGACTTTCAAATGTGTTTGCCTCTTAAACCTGCCTCTCCAAGAGAAATTGCACTACTAATAAGATCATTACATCCAAAAAAGGCCCCTGGATTTGAACTTATCACTCTGAAAATATTAAAAAATCTCCTAAGGAAGTGCATTACATTTTTAACCTGCTTGTTCAGTGCCATTCTCTGGACGGGTCACTTTCCATCCACATGGAAGATTCCCCAGGTAATAATGATCCACAAACCAGAAAAACCGGAATAAGAGGCTTCCTCATACTGGCCCATAAGTGTAACACCTGTGCTGTCTAAGCTTTGGGATAGGATATTTCTCACCAGATTCAAACTGCTTATGGATGACTGCTGTGTTGTGCCATATCACCAGTTTGGATTCCGTAAATCTCACTCAACTATTGAGCAGGTTCATCGGGTATACCACACGATCCGACAGAGCTTTGAACACAAAGAATATTGTTCTGCAGCCTTCCTCGATGTGCAGCAAGTCTTTGATCAAGGGATTGTTGGCCAAGGTTAAAGACAGACTTCCACACTCGATGTTTCTTCTCATAGAGTCCTACCTATGGGGTCGTTCCTTCCAAGTTAAATACAGAGAAGCGAGATCAAACATGTACAATATTCTGGGAGGCTTACCACAGGGCTCAGTCCTCGGCCCGGTTCTGTATAACATCTTTACATTGACTTACCAATATCAGATAACATCACAGTTGCTATATAAGGTGATGACATATCCCTTTTGTCCGTTGACGTGAATCCTGTTAAAGGTAGCACAAACCTCCAACTGCAACTAGATCTTACCCACAGATGGTTCTGTAAATGGTGCTTCTGGGCCAGTGCCACCAAATCTCATTATATCACATTTGCACTGAGAAAAGGAAACTGTAATACAGTAAGACTTGGTAATTAAACATTACCACATTCTGATTGTGTGAAGTATCTTGGTTTTCACTTGGACAGACATCTCACATGAAAGCATCACATAAAACGAAAAAGAGATGAAGTCAATCTCAAATATCGTAACCTTCATTGGCTCATGGTAAGAAATTCAGCATTATCTGTAAACAACAAACTTCTAATCTACAACTCGGTCTTAAAACCCATTTGGACATATGGTATTCAGCTGTGGGGTATGGCTAGCAAGAGTAATATACGTTGTCTTCGACGAATGCAAAATTGTATCCTGAGCAAGGACCGGAACCACTTATCATTAAAGGGGTATTCGATTGGGTATTTGATAGACTTGTTTTCTTGTTTGAACCCTATCGATTCGGTAAGCATATCTTCGACTTACCCTAACAAAATGCTAACCAAATTGATACAGTTAGTTAGTTTGAGTAATTCGTTAGTCTTACAGAAAACCCCTAATAGGGTTACCCTATCAAGTGTTGGTAGACGTGGTCAAGCTATTTTAAACTCTACGCGTAATCAATTGGACTTATAATTAATTGCACTGCCAGAGAATAAAAAGTAACGAGAAAGGTCTCCCTCTCACTCTCCGCCCGCCCAATATTGCACGAAACGGTAACGAGGTGAGATGAGCCGTTCAAGGATGACTTTGATTATAAATAGTTTAAATTTATTTATTACGAACGAATCATATTATAGTAACGTATATGTATATGATGGTTGTGAATTGTGCCTTGTACGGCTATTTATCTTCATCTCAATGAAGTTTACAAACTCTTTACCAGATTTCGAATTTTCGATATAATATATTGCGATTTCTTATCAGATTGTTTATAGATAACACATTAAAAAGAAAATATTTTAGTGTAAGTAATTTGTAGTAGTGTTATTCACTTACCATGTTAAGGCTTTTAAATTAAGGTATATATTAATAAATCAAGGTCACAAGCCGTACAATGTACCTAGCTATTTTACACCTGGGGGTCTACTATCGACCTCCGTCCGACATCCGTCCGAAACAATTCCAAATAAGCAATACTTGACCAAATGAAAAGACGCATGATGCGAATGAAGCTTCATACTGGATACTTGTCTTTTAATTTTGTCGAAAATTACTTATTTGACAGTAATTGTTTCGGACGGATGTCAGACGGAGATCGAGATGTGAACTAATTGTACTACATTGCAGTGTGTGAAAGATATACAAATTATTACAAAATGCAATTCAATGACATAAAATTTATTTTAAATTAAAGAGATAAATAAACGTATAATTTACTCCAAATAAATAATTATTATTAACTGCCTCCGTTGTCGAACGGTTACCATACTGGGCTGCCACGCAGAGGTCCCGGGTTCGAATCCCGGGCCGGGAAAAGTATTTGTATGGCCTACAATTATTTTTCTCGTGACTTTGGGTCTAATTTGTGGTTGTCTATGTGCGTATCCATGGCACCCGCGGCCATTTTTCGACATGTGCTGTTTATTCCAAAAACGTATATCCTAGATCTCATAATTTAAAATGTTAATATTTATAACTCCCGAGCGACAAATGTGCAGTTATGGAAAAAAATATTTTTGAAATTTACTTAAATTTTATTCAGATAAAGTAAAAAAAATACTACACAATTATAAAAAAAATGGCGTACATAGTTTAAAAGTATACTTCTTAAGTAGCACCTCCAAGATCTATTAACAAACTCGTAACTTTGTTAGATATAGAGTAATGAATTATTTTTAAATTTTCGTTTTAATTTTTTTTTCCAATATTCCGCCGTATTTGAAAAAGAATTTACATCATTATTGAGGTCTGACATTGCTTATTACCTCACAAAAAAACGGAATTTAAATCACATGAAGTGTAGAAGTCATACCAAATTACTCGTATTTAATTTTTCAGAGTTGTCACTTTCATAAGGTACTGTTGTGTCTGAATATTATAGAACGAAATGGACTTATTTCTTATGTAGAATATTAATACTTTTTTCTTTATCACGCAGGACTACACATTCTTTAAAATCAAAGTATTTTCTTTCAATTTTCTAAATGTACTCCAGTACTGCAGATACAGGTAAAGGTATCTTCATATTTCTCTAGTGCGGGACTATGTTGAGTGTGTGCGTTATTATTATTATTATTATGTTTATTTTAAACTCTCGCCTCTCCCAAGGCCTAAAATACTAATTTTGAATTTTTAAATGGGAGAGGCGGTATTTCCCGGCTATGGCACAGTCGGCCGGGGTCAGGGACTCATTATTATTATTATTATTGTGCGTTATTATTGTGTTTCTTGGTTTTCGTACTTTGTAGTAGGGCGGAAATGCAAGATATCATATTATTGGATATCTAAGTGTAGAAAATTATAACTGTAACATGTGCGCCGCGCCGCCACTGCCAATGAATTTGACCAGCGTAAAATCAGCGTAGCGAAATTTGTTTTATTTAATTATCAGTTTTTTTTGTTAATTATTTACTATATTTTAATACAATATTATTTCCGTACAACTGAAATTATTACATTCCGACAACGTACCTACATCATATTTACAATTTTATTTTTGTGATTGTTTTTTACAAACATTCTTTTAGCTGATTATTTTTAGTAACAGTACAATATACCTGCTAAAGTACAAGTTAAAGTGTAAGAAATGTCTTAAATTAACACAAAGGTTGATTTAAACAAGGTTATAATACTTTTGTAAAGACTTGAAAAATATATGGCACGCGGATTTCACGCCGATCTTGCCGCCGCCGCCACCGGTCAAATAATCATCAGACGCTGCCGCCGCCGGCGCCGCTTTAGTGCCCAGTTCACGACGCGAAGATTTTTTCGTGCGGCCGCCGCGCGTTAACCGCCAGGCTACCACGCTTTCACGTACATTAATGGCGAATCTGAATTCTATTTATTAGGCAATAATATTTCAATTTCTCGGAAAAATACAATCGCGCGGTCACCGCGTAGACCAAAGACAAACCTAATGGCGTAAAGTTTATATTTTTGTTTGCTCATTTAAGTTCAATACTCAAACTTTATTGCTTTTCCATAATGTTAACTTGTTACTTTCTCGCAAAATTTGTATACGCGTTGGCACATGGCTTTTTCAAGTATTTTCGATGCTGTAGGTAGAAGAGCTATTAGGTAGTAAATTAATCTGATTTAATTATAGCTTTTTTTAACAAGGTGGGGAAGTTAAAACGTAATTGCTAAAGAAATAGAGCGTATTTTGCTATAACAGTTCGGTCTCTAAACACGTGCACGCGGTCGCCGCGGGTGCGCGCGCTATGGGATTCGTGTAAAATAAACGCGCCCTTACGATCAGCGCACATGTCTCTCAGCTCTTAACAGTCTCAACTGGTTATTTTTTATCAATAACAACTGCATCTTCCAGAGTATAGTCAGGCGGGTGCAATGGTATTTTTATTTAAAACGTCGTAAGCACTTTTTTTTCTAAAAATGCTTGGTGCATTTTGAGTTTTTGGTTGTGACAGAATTATTTTTCATAAGCATACACTCATGGCCCCGCACTAGAAAGACCCTGTGACGCGGGTGCCACACACACATAGACACCCACAAATTACATTCAAAGTCACGAATAAATGTAGATAATACAAATAATAATTATGTTTTTCATGTATTTACATTGTTTGTATATTTCTTTGCACTTCCATAAAACGGTTGAGTGAATAGACGCGAAATTTCTTTTGCACACGGAAATGTCATCGTTATTCCCAAAATAGGCGAACACTGTGTTCACTGTGTCAGTTAATGATAGATTTTGGTTTTTTTTCATAGACATTTCAAACACTTTCAACAGATTTTTTTGTTTCATCTCCATATGAGCTGGCAATCACTTCAGGAAGATGTAGAGACCCGGCTACGACTTTACTCAAATATCATTCCTTGACCAATCTTCTGTACCCTTCAAAATTTGGGCGTTGCATAATACTTACATTTCAAAACGGGAATAAACGCGATAAAGCAATTTTAATAGGTATTTTTACACTTCTTATTCGTATTATCCCAACGTTTCGGCCAATGCAACCTGGCGTAAAGCCCGTGACCACGGCCAGTGCGGTAGATGTGAAAACACCTATTAAAATTGTTTAACACGAAACGATTTTTTTGATGTAGCAGGCCACGAGGACGGCGCGCGGGACATGCATTTTTTTTGACAGTACGCTCAGCCTGATCTTAAGTAATAACTTTCCATTTTATTCACAGCACGCCACGTGTAATCTTGAGTAACCTTTGTAACAGGCCAGCAGAAGAGCCAAACAATTGACTGTGTCTATATTGTCGGCTTGCTGATGCAACCTTTGACTGATCAGGGACTAGAAAAATCGAAAATAAAATTGAATTCCTAATTGTGGTACGGCGGCCCACATGGTCTGCTGAGTGAAATTCGAATAGGTATACATAGTGGCTTGCCGCACTTGGCTTGCCGCACTTGGCTTTTTGGCCGGCGGCCCACACGGCTTGCTGGTTAACATTCAAAGATACGTAGTGGCCTGCTACTGTTGAATTTTTGTGAACGGCGGGCGGCCCACGTAGCACTGAGACTATTAAACACGTTAATTCCCATATTGAAATGTTACTGTTAAGACGTGCTCTGGTTGGGGCCTAGAAGGATATCTCTGAGCAGAGCAGGTCAGCTTTCGCTGTGCCTTAGTGCCATAATGCACTTTTCGAACTTTTTTAACCACTAACCCTTCCGCACCTCAAATAATGGCAGAAAGTTTTGTTTGAGAAATAATGCGTAAAGCATCTCCCCTCTCCCGTGATGTATACTCGAACGGGTAACACTTAGTTAATGGTAAGTGGTTATTGATCTACCTCTTACCCACAAATATAGTAGTTAACCTTATTCGAAAGGATTTCCAAATGATAGGCTAACACAATTGTAAGGGAAACCATACCATTTAATAGGGTTTCCCTATCGATAGGATTGATTGAGGATGAAAGGGTTTTCCGGTCCTTGATCCTGAGGGCAATAGTCAATGCCCCTTGGTTCACCCGTAATTAAGATCAAATCCATGATCATCTAAACGTGATATCGGTAGCTGCTGAGATCGACCGACATAAAACTAAGCACAACGACTTTCCTGCCACCCGAACCCTCTCATCGCGGAACTTCTAGATCCATCAACTATGGTCAAACGGCTTAAGTCAGGCCATGTTCTATATTTGGGAGGTGCGACACTAGCCGCTCCATCAAAAAACGTCTTCTTTCGTTCAAAAGATTTGCTTGTGGCCTGGCGGCCGATTGCAAATAAAATAATAATAATAAAAAAAGTCATGGTAACTCATGCACATGGTATGTGTAATTTTTTAATTTGTTCATCGTACTTGCTCATAAACAGTTTCATGACATGCAGTCAACCATAATGCCCTAAATTATCCCCACGAGCTTTTCATTACGTTATCGCTTTATGGATTTTTTGAATAAGCAAAAAATATTTATGTTTGAAAAATCTGAACGTATATTTTGCATAAACTTGAAGTATAAAAAAAACTAAACTAAACATTAATATACCGGTACAAAAAAGGTTCACCGACTAGCCGCAATTAGTATTCCACTTGCAAGTTTCCACAGCCCGTATGCGGCGTAACATCAACTATAGTTTGTGCTAAATAGTGTAGCAGTAGCGATCACTATCACCCTTCTACCACTGTATACGTCATTTGTGAAAACGATACTGTCCAATGTGCCTATAGTAACGTGCGAAAGCTTTATCGTTAGCATATCGTGGTAGAGGACACTTTGACGTACAGACAACCTTGGGGGTAGTAAACATTTAAACAATTTGATAGTAAGGAAATGTATTGATTATGTATTGTGCCTTTATTTTAATTTTATTTTGTAATAAAAGTAAATTATTTTTTTAAGTATATAATTAAAACCGAGTGCCTATGAGTGCCCGCCAGGCGAGTGCCTTTGAGTGCTACAGAGTTCCTGTGAGTGCCCAAGTACCATGTAACGATATCAATTCTCTGACTATTGTTCACATTGACGCTTGAAGTTAAAATCTTAACATTGTGCAGTGGAAGTTTCGACCGCATTCAGTGGAACCCGACAACACACTTTAAGCAGCTGGCTTCGACTGCATGTGTTTGAATTTGGTTTTTTTTAGATGCCTGTGAAATTGTTTTTGCATATTATAAGGAAATTGATATATTTTATATTTTTGAAATTTTATAAAGGTGAAGAAAGTGTATTTATTTATAGTTATTATGAACAGAGTTTTAAATGTCAATTTTATTTAGATGTGGTAATTATGCTAACATAATTCAATATTTATTTTTAAGAAATACAATACAATAATAAGAAATAGAATAACTCATAATTACAATAATAAAAATGTGATGTTTACAAACTTCAAATACAGAATGAGATGCCTCAATTTCATTTATTTTTTAAGTTACATTATTGACTTTTAGTGTGATATTCATGTGAAGTCAAAATTGCGATAGTTTTGTAGGGAATCGGTCGGTCGCTGCGAAATGCGCATTCGGGATAAAAGTCGGGTGAACGGCCGCTATCGCCACGCTATTCGGCACAAACTACGGCCCCGCGCACAGTTCCACCGCGGACCGTTGAAGGAAGAATCGGTTGCAGATTTGATAGGCGACGAGGGCGAGGAGGGCGAGGAGGGCGAGGCGGGCGCGGGCGGGGGAGCGCGCGTGTGGCGGCTGAACAACAAGTACTACAGCGCGCGCGTGCAGGTGCGGCCCGCGGCCGGCGAGGCTCTGGCGCCGCGGGTGCAGGCGCACGTCGTGCTGCTGCAGCCGCACGAGGCGAGTACCGGCCGCGGAGGCGGCGGCGCGCGCGGCGCGGGCGCGGCTGACGGCTTTCCGCCGCAGGGCGCGGCCGAGCTGGAGGCGCGCGCGGCCGAGGCCCGGCGGCTGCCCGCCTGCGCCGTGCGG